TATAACTGGACTAAATAGCACAACATGAACTCGGAGAGGTTATAACTTGACTGAATAGCACAACATGAACTCGAAGAGGTTATAACTGGACTAAATAGCACAACATGAACTCGGAGAGGTTATAACTTGACTGAATAGCACAACATGAACTCGGAGAGGTTATAACTTGACTGAATAGCACAACATGAACTCGGAGAGGTTATAACTTGACTAAATAGCACAACATGAACTCGGAGAGGTTATAACTTGACTGAATAGCACAACATGAACTCGGAGTGGTTATACCTGGACTGAATAGCACAACATGAATTCGGAGAGGTTATAACTTGACTAAATAGCACAACATGAACTCGGAGAGGTTATAACTTGACTGAATAGCACAACATGAACTCGGAGAGGTTATAACTTGACTGAATAGCACAACATGAACTCGGAGTGATTATAACTTGACTAAATAGCACAACATGAGCTCGGAGAGGTTATAACTTGACTAAATAGCACAACATGAGCTCGGAGAGGTTATAACTTGACTGAATAGCACAACATGAACTCGGAGAGGTTATAACTTGACAATAGCACAACATGAACTCGGAGTGGTTATAACTTGACTAAATGGCACAACATGAAAACATAGAAGTTATAACTTGACTAAAAAGTTATAACTGGTAATTTTAAAAAGTAGAATCTTGCTCTTATTAGTTCTTTAGCTCTTAAATTAAATCAATTTTCTTTGACTTCGTCATCAAAGGAAACACTTTTGAATGGCAACATGAAGTATGTTTTCAATTTTTCCAAAACGATGCACAGTTAGTTATCCTCCCTTAAAGAGGCGGACTTTTTCAGGTTGAAAATCACCATTGTCATCGTAAAGTAGATTTTGTGGAGACTCAAACTGGGTCAGAAATAGTCGACTTTTTATTTATATAAAATTACTTTGTTGGGGGGTTTCCGTGCTGCCTTTAACTGCTCAGCTCACACAACTCAGCTCGAATCGGGATTCAAACTCGAGCCCTCTGGATAGGTGGCCAGAAGTTTATGCCTCAGTCACCCCCACACACACACACGCACTTTTAATATAAAAAAAAATTGCTTTCAAAATAAAAAACAAAATTTTCAAGTATTTGGTGAACATATCCAACTAATAATGAGTAGGAAACTCTATTTCACTATCCTGTTTATGTACTTCAAAGAGTTACAGTGGTAGTTTGTACTTTCAGAATGATTTGGCTTTTGCTTGTTTGTATGTATAATGTAAGCAGGATCGTGTTCCGCATGTTCCTTAAAATGAAATGAGTTAATGTTGAATTCACTGTTTTTATAATCGTTCTCAAAATAGATGTGACAGCTTCATAAAGTCAGTGATGGCCAACCTCAGGTTTGTGGGCCGGATCTGGCTCGTGTCACTTTGTTTTCCGGTCCACAGTGCATTAATAAGTTGCAGAGGCTCGGTTCTATTGAACAATTTTGTTGTGGAGTGGTGACCCCTGATGCGCTTTAGACCAAAGAAAGTTGTGCATCACTACAATCCGCGGAATTTCTTTTGTTATTTATATTCCTAAATATACAAAAGATGAAATTAAAACTGTTGAATGAGAAGGGAAGAAATAAAGTAAAACATAGTTCAATAGATTTGCAGACTCTTTAAAGTTGTCAATAGAATCCACAGTGGCAAGGCTAGCTTTTTTTAAATAGCAAGATAAGTGTGACATGCTTTGTCCTCAATAATGTTTCATTTCGTCCATGTCAATTGTGTGGCATTACGTGCACATTCCACATAAAATGTACGTCTGTATAACGGGGCTATTGAGGCTATTGATCACCACTGCCAACGTGTTGGGACGTTGCAGGTCAGTGGGGAGGCCTACAATAATGATTAATCTTGGTTCTATCTCCATACTGGTGAATTTTCTTTTCCCTTAATTTTTTGATTACAAATAAAATATGAATATCTAGTTGACCATAATAGAAATTCAGTGGCGGACTAGCTATTGGGAGTTAAGGAGAATGCCGGTGGGCCGGTACCTAAATGGGCCGTTGGGGCTTCCGAAAGGGTCACATTAAATGTCAGTAAGTCACGTAAACGTGATTGGCTTCGCCGTACCTTTTATAAAAGATCTTTAGGAGACTTTACTTTTAGCCACATATTCCAAAATAATGGATTCGTCTATATTCATATACTGTGCATCTGTGAGTTTCAATCCTCTATACATATTAAGAGATTAACAAACAACATAAAACCTGTATTTGTTTTGTCCTATTAAAGTCAAATTTGTGGGTCTATGGTGTGACCATACTCGAGTGAATCTAAAAGGTTTAAAATTAGTAATTATTTCTTGATGTTATGAGTTATTTTGGCTTAAAAACAAATTACCACTACCGGCGATTAAAACTTGGGGAGCAATGAAATAATCACCCTTAATATATATATACAATATATATATATATATATATATATAAACTTACATACCTGTAACATGGCAAGAAGCGATTGGCCTACACTGCTTAAAGGTTGTGACGTTGCAGGTCAGTGTTCAGGCCTTCTATGACGATTGGTCTCGATGTGGGTGAGGTCACACACAAAAGGCGGGAAAAGGGAAGGTGAAGGTGAAAATAGCCTGGTCGTCAGGCTGATAGACAACATTTTGAAGAACGTGCTTCTAAAACTCTTAAAGACATTGGACTGGACTTTGATCTGTGCAGAGGTCAAACCTATGATAACGCAGCCGCAATGAGTGACCGTCTGTCTAACCTGCAGAAACGCCAAAGGCAACATTTCTCAACTGTGATAGTCAAAGCAATTGTCACCTTTTTTTTTGAGCTGTACTTGAATTGTTTAACTTTTTTTCCAAATCATCCCAGAGATGGAACACACTGAAAGAAGCTGGAGCCTGGAGTTTAAAAAAGGAGAGTAATACAAGGTGGTCCGCTAGAGAAGAAGCGCCCAATTAATATAGTTCAGAAGAAATACAAACGTCTGGACTGCACACAGGGGTGCTGTTGAAGAAAATTAAATCCCTTTCATGCTGTCTGCAAAATGATGAGAAACGGAAGAAAATCCTTCGAAAAAGAAAAGAAGATAGTGAATGCTGTGGAGTTCTTGTAATCAAAACAACCAGAAGAAAGAAAAGACTCGATGGGAAGTTGAGTTCTGATGTAGGACTGTCAATAGAACTGCAATTCAAACGTGTAGAGACAGAAGTGCTGGACAGACTTCATATGGAGATAAAGGACAGATTCCAAAGGCTGGGAAATCATTTGGGTTTCTTCTTCAACCAAGACAACTCTTTGAGTCCATGGATGATGACACGCTGATTAAAAACTGTATTCCTGTTTGATGAAATAAGGCAAATCGCTTGTTCAATGATGTCATTGTTGCACGAGCACTTTTCATCAACAAAACAGTGACACAATCACTGTCACGGATGAATGAGTGTATGTATGTATAATCTATTTTCACATACTGCAGTAAAGCTGATTAAAGTTTATGTGTTTGATCTAGTGGTTTCATTGTTTTATTTCGCTAACTAGAACTGAACCAGGGACACCTAGACGTATCGAGACCTAAGGTAGATTCTATAGAGTTATAAGTATAAATATAATAAGAAATCTGTGACAATCACTAATTTACATATTAAGGAAGCTGGCTTTAGATGGTTATGATATGTGCTCAAACCTTCCAACCTCCATCCGAATACTGCTAACTCAGGACACTTCCTTTGCGTCGTGTGAGAGATCATTTTCAAAGCTCAAGTTCATCAAAAACTATCTCAGGAGCAAAAAAAAAAAAGAAAGGCTTAGCATGGCTTTAATGTCAATGGAGTCACTTCTTCTTCTTCTTCTTGAAACTGTCAGGTAGAGTTGAGCCTTCGGCTCTTGGAACTCTAGGCCAGCAAAAGTGAACAAGAGCTCCCTCTCACCCTGAAAAATGGAGTCACAAATACTAGACAGTATCGATGTAGATGATGTTATAGATGCCTTTGCTGCACACAAAGCACGACGTGAAGCTATATAAATTGAGATTTGTTACTTGTGTATTATTTCGCCAATAAACAACGGTATTATTCATTAAAAGTTTTTAAATGATTATTTCTTCTTAATTTTACCAACATACTGTACCAATTTGAATGTAGGTTTATGTATTTATTAAGTAGATTATCTCATGTCATAATGTAGAATGTCAAAATGCAAGGGGCCCCCCATAGAAGTCAGCCCACCCAGGCCCCCAAATCCCTAGCTACGCCCCTGTGATCTTGGGGGAAGGTTATAGAGGTTTTGGGGTTGAGATTATAAAGTCAGTTACAGTTAGAGTTGGTGTTAGGACTTATAGGGCGAGAGCTACATGTATGCTAGTTTAAAGTAAATGGTTGGTTGATTTGATTATTTCTAATATTATAGTATCATGAATCTAGACAGTATTTACTGTGTGTTTATTTATTGTTTGAAGTTTGAGTAGAAGAAATAAACTGAAGAAAATTATCTACACCGTGTCAGGATGATTTGGTGAAGATTCAACAAAAACAACATCGTGACAGATATAAATAAGGCTCATTTTAAATTGGTCCATATTGGAATTATGAACTATACTATTTATCAAACACTGACAGTTTTGCAAACTCTACAAAGAATGAGACATGGAAAGTTGATCTTTATCCTTTTGCAGCCCTAGTTCAGCTTTGAAAGTATTAGAAGTAAAGTTCCCCTTTCAGACATTGTATTCTATTTGGCAGATTATGTAAGGGTCATCTGTTTCTGTGGCCTACGGTTAACGAGGGTGTCATGTCGCCAACACAACGACCAACCGCCTTTACTTTTCCCCAACTAATGTTAGGTACCCATTAAAGCTGGATGGACTATGAGGCGCCTAAGAGATCCCGAAATTAAAAATCCCATTCTTGACCAGGATTTGAACCCTGGACTCCCGGTTAGGAAGCCAAGCACTCCTTAAAGTTATTGACTGAAGACATATCAGACATTTAAAGAAATGGCAGACATTGACAAGGATTAAAGCCAATAGTTCATGTTTATTTTCTCTGGTCAATATTAAAACCTGTACAAAGTGTCAACATTTTACTTCATACATGCAAATATACAGAATTGTTTACGTATGTACTAACACAAAGCATTCTCTCCCTTGGACAGCAAGGAAAGTTCAATTATAATTCCCTCCCTTGAACTCAAGAAAACCAAATTATATTCAAACACACATAATTCCGTGTTAGTCTATCACAAATACATGAACACAGTTACTTCCCCATGATGTTAAACATCAAAAAAAAAAAAAAAAGGACTATTGCACAAAGTAGATCAAAACAAAACCTCTGGTCAATAAAATATTTGTTTTTATAGTAGTTAAACTAATAATAATATTATTAATAAGCATACAACTAAGTCCATGTCTTTTATTCAGTTGAAATACTCTATAGTATGAGAAAAAAGCTCATAATAGTATAGATCTTGTATGAATTTGATAAAGTGTAAATTGCTGATGGACTGCAAGGAATGTTAAGGTTTTAATTTTTCTGTTGCACTTCCCTCATGATAATACAAAAAGTCTCTAAAATTTGAGCAACATTAGATGTGAAAATATATAAGTATTAAAAGGATGAAATCTAATTCTGCAATAGGTTACATTTAAGATGACTTTATTTAGAAAATGAAATCTTTTTTTTAAAAGGTACGAAAGAAAATGTTTTTAATATGATCAGTTCTACAGAACAAGAATGAACATGGACCAAACTGAGGGGAATAACCCAACACACTGTCCTATTCAAAGTACTGTTGTGGCTTCAAAGGGAGTTAAAGGTTTAAGCCAAGTCAGTCATTCTACAGCTAAAAGTACAGGGTTTGCAAGAAATATTGAGAAAATTAGTTCTTAAGATATTGTAGACTAGTTGATTCATAAATTGTAAAATGCTTTTTTTTATAAAGGAACTAAAAAATATTAAAAACATAACACCAGAAGTAAATGTTTATCTCCTAATGATACAATATCAAACAAATTCATGCCTGCAGCAGCTATTTTCAAAGTATTTCTGACACCAATGTAACAAAAATTCAGATTTAAATTAAAGAAATACCCTAATGATCCAAACTGAACAGTTCAATATGAAAATATATGGATTTCTCTGCTGAAAACCACTGATATACTAACAAGGCTGGTGGATGATAAGTACATTAAATTATCACATAGTACATACAACATCACAGCAAAAAGTTACTGACTAGAGACACTATGTACATGTTGTAACTAACAGTGAAACGTGATCAATACATACGATGTTTGTTTTTGTATTTAAAATCAAACTCTAGTATTGAACACCTTGTGGCTACAGACAACAATGAAACCAAACACATAAACAATAATTAGTTTCAGTAAAGTAAAGCATATAACAATTTATAAAACTACATAAAATCATACAAAACTTGGAACAAATTTAATAGGTGAATAAAATCATAAAAAAAAAAAAAAATATTATACATTTCAACAACACATAACAAAAGGGGAGATTACAATGTGAATCATGTGTTGATGGGTCAATGTCTATAAGTAGCTGAACTGAATCACATTGGGTTACTAGATATCACCCAGATAATAAGACAAACATTTCATGGTATACAATAAAAACAATGATTGATATTGGAGCAATTGTCTAAGGCGCTTAATGAATGAACACTGTTTTGGTATTGAGATATTTATATGTATACTACGGTACCAGTAAAACCTTCTTTGTGTGTGTGCATATGTATGTAAGTGTTTAAATATTTGTGTATATGAGCATTTTCAGTCGATTTTTTGTGGTTTTTCAAGTAAATAATGCAGGTCTATTTTGGTATTATCACAGACAGCACCATATAACCACACAATAATAACAGAGTTAATACTAATCAACAACATTTTATCATTGACTTTCTCATTTTTTGTACACTAACAAACTGAGGTGCAGGAATATAATGAAAAGATATCTAGCTCATGTTACAAGTTTCAAATTATTTTTAAAAAATCCAAACCAGTGCAGAGTAGGGCTATGAATATCTAACTTAGTGTCCATAAAAAATTGAATCATCAAAACTTTGAAATAGATATCACCAAAACACATTGTAACGTTTTTTGTTTTACAGAAGCTCCTGTCAACATTAAAATATTTTAAAACAATATTTTATTTTCAAGTAGATATTTATATATATATAATTTTATATATTATATTTATATATACTACATTTTTACAGTTCAGCAACATTAACTACACAAGATTTCTAGGTCTTTATGCTACGCAGAGGATGAATCCTCCATGACAATCTGCGTATGCACTGAGCCTTCTTTATAAGCAGAGAGTTCATGTAAAGCACTGCGCAATTCAGTAGTAAGAAGCATTTCCTGTTCTTTGAGGGACTTGATTTCTTTTTGTTGGGCCTAAAGATACAAAATAAATACTAATTGTAATATGCTTAGCAAACAGGTTTTTTCTGTTTAAAAAGAATTAAATATTGTATTATTGAAGATATATATTTTTAAATAAGTTTATATTCAATAAAATTAATTGGCTTTCAATTATGTTTTTTTTTCTTTCTTTAAAATAAATATAGTTATCTATAGAATAAAATGAATGAATGTTTCCACTACTAGTATAATTTCTACTGTTGATATAAGAAAATTAGGATATTTTAAGCAGTTTTAGAAGTGTTCTGAAAAATTCTTATAAAATAGAAAGTCTATTAATAAAATAAAAAATAAATTATAGCTTTTATATACAGCACTACTTTCATGCTTATAGCATGCTCAGAGTGCTATGGTCCAATCTCGTTTGTGGACCAGTGGGGGCAGGGGGTAGCTGGGAGAAGGTTTTCCGTGCTGCCTTTAGGTGCTCAGTATTTATAGATTAAGATTTATATCAATAAGATTAATGAATTTATAGTAAAAATACCAAATTATTTAAAAAGTCAAATTTATTTGTTGTGTAATTTAATTAAATTCATTTTCTTGTCTTAAAAAAAAAGCAGCAGGAATTCTATACTTGTTAGTCTATAAAGTATGTAACCAAACAAAGCATTAGGAAACACAAAAAGAAATTTTAAAAAATTGATTATTTGGGTAGTTCTAAAACCTAGAAAAAAACAAACTAGAATAAACAAAACCCTTCAAAACCACTAGTGAATCAGTTATCTTACCGCATGCTGACGTAACAGGTCATGTTTTTCACTCTTTAGTTTGTGTACTTCCCCTCTCAGTTGGTCAATTTGACGCTGGAGGTGGTCATGCACTGGATAGCACAGAGTGGGAGGAGAGAGAAAGAGAGAATTATTCATGCATAAATTCAGAAAGCCTAAGAGGAAGTAAAAGCAAGATGATTATTGACTTAGAATACAAAAATATGATTACAATTATGAACTATGGATTAGTATATCATATGTAAATTTAATTAAAAAAAAACTATTTTCATGTAACATTTTTTCTATAGCAGCTCTATGTTAAATAAGAACCAATTTATTTTTATTATCATTTTTCAACAAAAGAAATTCTTTTTGAAAGACTAAGTATTGAAGATTATTAGGCTAATATTATTTGTAACTGGGTAAAATTTCACTAAAAGAATATATTTTTAAAATTCTTTGTTTATTTTTAATGTAAGAACTAAAAATAAAATTCACTAAAAAAAATAAAAGGTAAATTATGCTGAGATAGTCATGCCAAAGTTGCAGCTTGGTTTTTGAAGCTAAAGGTTTAAAGGATAAAAACAACAACACAAGTGCACTTATGAATCAACTTACCATCACTTTCTAATGAAAAAACATACTCTCCAGTGTAAGGAGTTGAGTTGTGTGTAGTTATATTTGGTGTTCCTGTTGAGGACATACTTTCCTGAAAAACAACCAAGAACAGTTTGATAAACTAAACCAATTTCTTTTAAACAGTGACACATACTCTCCATCAAGCACACATAAACACAAAAGGATTCAATTAAAATTAATTAAGCATTCTAAATGATATAATATTTTTTTTAATGTGGAGATATGTATTTATGTTGGTTTAATAGTTAAACATTCCTAAAAATAATGTTAAACATTAAAGAAGTCAAAATGTAAATGCTTAACAAATTAGGCCTATTAAAAAAGTTTGAAGAGTCAAATGCTAACCATTACCATGCCTGTATCCGAATCTTCAAGGTTGCTGTTTTTGATATTATTGGCTCCATTGTTGCCAATATTGTTATTGATATTGCTGTTAATGTTGTTGTTTGCTGCAGGGAATTCCTCCATGCTGTTAAAACTGCTTTCAGAGTTGGAGCGTGATATGAGGATCAGTTGGTTTGTTCTGAGAATAAAAATTCACAATTCACTTTTTAAAGTAAATCTAGAAGTATAGAAAACAAATTTTAGATAATAATACATTGAAATTCCATATTGACAAAAAGTTTATAAAACTTTTTTTACATACACAGAGAAGATAACAAACCTTGTTGTTGAAGACACAGAGCTAGGGCTTGATTGCGGACTTGGTGGCGGACTAGCACAAGCCTGATAATTGAGACCTGTATGTGTGCTGTTATCTAGTCTCAGATTCCTGCAAGATAAATAACAACTACTTAGAAACATTGTAGACGATTTTCTGCCCAGTCCATAACATAAGATCTTAATAAACAATATGACAAAATACGATAAATGTGATATGTTCACAATGATTTAGAATTATTATAATTTAAATGAATCTTAAGATAAAATTAAACTTGGTCAAAAATACATACCCTTTACTATCCCTGTTAGATTTTGGCTGCTTTTCAAAAGAAGAAGAATATTGTCTGACTAAATTTCTAGGTGTTGATGGTGACTTGCGTACCTTTAAAGTAAAAAAATATGGTCAAAACTTAAATAATTAAAAAAAACAAGTAAATTATAAAAATAACAAATATGATATAAAAAATCCTTTTTGAATTATCAAAGTTTATATTGAATGAAATTGCATCAATTATTTTGAATCAATCCTGTAATTAATTTTTTAATACATCTAGACAGAAATTAATAAATTTGTACAAATGAAAATAGGCCTATTTATCACTTTTTGTTTAGCCTATGCTTATAAAATGCTCAGTGCAGTGAGATATAAAAGTCCTTATAAAAATTGAAGATTTTATAGTCACCATAGTCCAAAAAACTGTATACAGCATAGAATTTTTAGCAAATGACCTAGTTCTCTACACAAGGCTTATCTCCCCTTAGCTAAGCACGTTTTTAAATAAAACTAAATTAACTACAACTTATTGATTCATTCATTTGTTAATTGTTCTAAGGATTCATGT